ATGTCTGCCACGTTTAAGTTTGAAAATAAAGGGTCCACTCAGATGTTTGGTATCCAGCGTGGCTCCTCTTCCTGCCTATTAGATACGCAATGAGGACGATTAGCACCAAGCCGGCAAGAGCGGCTCCCACGATGATGGGGATCAACATCTGGGTTTGGTCTATCTGACACTCCTCGGCTGGTTATGGGAAGGAAAAAGAGAAGATGAGAAATTATTTTGTAGAGTTTTTAATCTGGAAAATGCACAAGTCTGCATTTCTACTGGCTGACCACTTTTTGCAGTTCATGGTTTAAAGCCCCTTTGAAAATGTTGAACAGAGGGATTACTGATTCTTAACTCATGACCTTTTGAGTCAAGAATGTCTGAGGATTGTCTAAGAAAAGTTCATTCGTTTAAACGTTCTCAATTATGGCTGAAACATCCAGGACAAAAATGCTTTTAAGAAATAAAATAAATGTTTCCTACCAGAGCTGAAAAATGTGACAAATAAGTGCCACAACACTGTTGTGCTTGATGCAGCTAAGTGACTTATTTCAAGTCATAACAGAAATAGCTCTTCAAAAGTAGCTTTGAATTTCATTAAGTGTACTTAATCACTTTCTTGTCATGGATGAATTTAAAAGTATGGACCACTCAGGTGTCTTTCTGATTAATATAAAAGCCATAGCCAGCGGGCAAAGAACTTAGCTTAGCTGAGATGAATGTTTTGATTAAGGGTGAAACAGCTGGTTGTGATATTTCTGTTTTTGTTTTAACAGATATACTGGTAAGAATTCTCAATCTTGTAATCTCATGGAGACACATTTCCATGTGCAAACTTCCACCTGCAGTAGCTTCTGTGTAGAAGTCAGAGTTAAAAAAAAAAGAAAAGAAATTGGGGGGGGGGGGGGGGGGGGTATGAGCAGGGAGAATAACACAAAGCTTTGTTACCTGTTGCAAACTGGTTTGTGGTGACTTCAAAGGGCTGCACCTGCACTCTGAATGTGTTGAGAGAGAAAGTGGGCACTACAGCCAGAGTTTGCTCTGCGTTGCACATGTAGGAGCGGCCGAGGGTACTCCGCAGGTAATCCAGGCTGGTGTTACTGGCCTGGAAAGGACCTGTGGAGAGAGATGTGTGACATGCGTCTTTGATTTTAAGAACTGAAGAGTCAGGATGAAAATGTTTGAGTCTTCTGATGGTAACATACCCCTCATATCAGACCAGTTAGCCAGCAGCGTTATCGCACTCAGGCGGTACTTGTTGCTTGTGGAGTTCTGTGAACAGGCGAGGGTTTCAATTAACACCTACACTACACAAGGAAAAACAAAACAGGATCTAAATTCACATAAGAGGAAGACAATCTTACCAGGGTGAAGGTGAGGTTGAGTGTGGTGATTTGCTCTTGTGTTAAAACCAGGGAAGCACTGCTGGCTTCACATGATCCTGATACACTGGTCTCATTGGGACTCAGGTTTACTAATTCTTGCACAGTCTGGAAACAAAGACAAATGCGGTTCATTTGTTTTACACAAGGCAGAAAAGACAGGCATTTCTAAATGATTTTACAATGGGTCGTAAATCTCTCTTTTACTTTGTTCTGAGATAGAGAGAAATAGGAAACATTGAGCTGCAGTCCCATCCGGGCCAGGAGACACACAGTGCCGTTTCTGTTGTTTACAGAGTAGGTGCCCCGTTCAGGAGTTCCTGGAGGGGTCGGTGCTGGGGCTGGGGTTGTTGTAGTACTGGCAGTGGTTGGTGGAGCTGTAGTACTAGCCTGATCTGCCATGCATACACTCTCTGAAGCAGGAAAGGAAAAAAAACAAAAACATGTATAATCACCTTTAAAGAAACAAAATCAAACAATCTAGAAATTAACACATTCATGTTGGACAACCAGTACCTGTTGGACTGAGTTCATTTTGTGGCATGTACGCCTCGAGTCTTGCGCCAGAAAAAGTGACAGTTGATCCTCCAACTCGGAAAGTGGTGGGACTCTCACAGCGGTAGGTGGTGTTGACCGTTGCCCAGATCCCAACTGAAGACGATACAACAGTGACGACATCTAGGGCAAAATCAAACATACAACAAATCAGTCTCAAAACACCAGTGAAATAAAGGCACGTGTTCTTTGTTCATTATTTCTTTGTTCACTTGATTTGTTTCAGACTAAAATGCTTTAATGTAACATGAAACATTCTCTTTTGATGATACTGTATATAAGAAGCTGTCCGACTGTGATGGTCTTAAAAGTGCCACAATCTGCACTGATCATGATAACATTGTTTTTTTAAATTTGCTCTCACCGGAGCTGTCTGCCCCGGGGAAGACTGAAGTGTCGCTGAGGTTGTACTGCAGCGTCAGGTTAGCCACGTTGTACAGACTTCCGTTGGTTGAAAAGCTTAATCCCAGAGCGTGGCCGGGTCCAAACACAGCCACCAGCCAGGGCGAGCTGCTGTCTGTGCCACATGAGCTGCTGCCTGTGTCCGCTGTGGCCGAGTCGGGCAGAGAGAACTGCGCTGTTCTCTGAGGAAAAGAAAGAAGACACGACGTCGACTGGAGTTAACAACAAGGAGGTACGATCAATTAAGATGAGCGGTCTTTCAGAGAGTGCGTGTTGTCGTCACTGGGCATACCGTGCTGCTGGAGGTGTTGTACGGGATGGAGAATGACGCTGAAAGCTCAGCCTTAATGCAGGTGGAGTCCCCCGCCCTCACCTCCAGAGTAACAGCCTGAGAGCGACCTGAAGAAGAGAACACAAAGAGCAGGGGTGCTCGAAATCAAAATGGCACTGAAAAACAATCTACAGTAATAATAACATGGACAAACTGTGTCATAAACATGTCATGGTTTGAGTGTTTTGTGCCATCTCATATCGCACCGTGAAAACTAAAATAATGTATACGTAGCCTATGAATACACAAAATGACCTGCAGACTGCTTGAGCGATAAAGTTTTCAATATTTAACTTCACTGAAATTAGAATGCACACTTGGATATTGCTAAAGCATATCTATCTGGGTCTTCTTTTTTATATGACTTGCCTGGTTCGATAAAGGCTCCACCATGAGTATAAATGATAACAGAGGATTATTATAAGATAACCACTAGGGTCACATGATTTCATGTCCTACATACACAACTAAGCAGTACACACAGCCACCAGCAGAGGGCTGCAGTCTCTTTCCAGACAGAGTTGTTTGCTGTCGTTTCAATCGAGAAGTATGACAGATGTAGAGCCAAACTTTGGGCTCATATGAACTGAATTACAGAGAAGCATTTACCAGCGAGGCAACTTTCAAACGTGCATTTAAGCCTTTGGAAACTGCCCAGCCCACACTGTCAATGTGACTGTGTGTAAAGAGAACTGTCTGTTTGTTTGTTTGTTTGGAAGCTGAGGTGGCTTTTCCGGACACATACACTTACAAACACTACAACTAATATCCTGGATCTCTTTATGGGATGGTAGCACAATGCAGGGATTTAACTGCTTGCTTCACACTTCCCAGAATGAATACCTTTACAAAGATGGAGACAGTTTGGTTCAATTGTGGTTTTGCAACTGTTCCTTTTGGGGTTAACTAAACAGCAGCAGAGAAACAGCACGTATGTGTTTTACCTCTTGATTCTGTTCCTATCTGTCAAACATCAATGAGAATGGTCTTATCAACTGTGCATGTAGAATAAAATAAAAACGTATCATTATTTATTTATTCCACGGGCCACAAATGCACATGTTTTATTTGTAAGTTGATTTCATTAATCTACCAAACAATACAATTAAATACAGACATAAAATCTCTGATCTTGTACAAATGCAGCAAACAGCATTCCCCTGCTAAGATGATTATTGTAATTGAAAGCTATTCTAAATAAATGCTGATTACCAGCTCGTATTTCTTAGGGACAGATTGAATTAGCTTTTGTCCAACATGCTTACTAATTTGTACAACTCACTTATTACACAACCAATTGACTAAACACTCTCCCTGCCACATTTTCACATCATGTTCACCATTAATATAATCTATTAATGTCATAGGGAAAGGCACTATACTTTTGTGCTTTGCTGCCTTCCTTCCTGTAACATGACCCTGATGTCACCTCTCTGTTCACCATGTAAACACACAGCAGACGGTTTGCACAACACTGCAATCTGATCATGAGGTAAAAGTGGCACTGTGTGCAAAGTATCGGGCTGAAGATAGCAGCATTAGACAGTCTGTATGGACAGATTTAAAAAAACAGAAAAGTATCCCATACTGCCTCTTGGATGGGGGGGGGGGTTGCTGATGTTGGATGTCTGAAAAGATACTGAACATGTTCCAAAGTAGGAAACAAAACTGAACACTAACGTATTGCTTTCTTATTCATATTATAACGAAAGAATCAAGATGAAAAATAAATCAAATTTAAACTACCAAGCTACAATTGAAATGGGATCTTGTACTCAGTCAGCATGACTGTGTGAGTGTGTGTGTGTGTGTGTGTGTGTGAGTGTGTGTGTGTGTGTGTGTGTGTGTGTGTGTGTGTGTGTGTGTGTGTGTGTGTGTGTGTGAGTGTGTGTTCCAGGGGTGACTAAACTGCTGATAAACTCACACTGTCAGTAGGCCCCTAATGACCTGTGTGCCAACAAAAAGCCATCACCCGAGTCATGTGAAGCTCTCAAATGACACAACAATGGCTTCAATCTGCTGGTCCACAACATTAACAAAACCTAGGCATTAGCATAGAAACGAATAGAATGGAATACAATCAGGTCCAAGGGTTTTTTAGGTCAAGCCTGTCTGTTTTGACACGACTAACCTTTGGCTTTTCAAAATGTTCAAAGTCCATGTTCAAAGCATGTAGCTCCTTAAGCACTGATCTAGTTTTGATTGAACTTGGAGGACATAAATGCCTAGTTTTCTCCGGTTACTAGTATGAAATATGATTGGTTTAAATAAGCTTAAGTTTAATATGATCATGGTGCATACGACTACTTAGCTATAGGCCTAGATACCTAGTATTTGTACATTATTATTTAGCCATGATTACTCTACATCTGCAAAAGAAATACAATTCTGAGATACAACTCAATTCTCCTAGGCCTGAATCCTGCAGTAAAATAAACAGTGCACACAGAAACATTCAGCAAGCAATAATCTTTGTAATAATCTGCAATTAACATGTTTTTATTTGGTGCTCAATAATATGCTGATTCATTTCTCAACTGTGCATTCCTTGTCTAGCTCTGAAATGCCATAACATGGCATCGTCAAATAGTTTTGTTTGGGCGGACACATCATTCTGCAGGCTGTTAAATGTGTCATAATTAAACATCACAAGATCTCAATACCTGACATACAGGTAGCCTAGAAGTGGTACGGGCAACTTTGACATCACAACTAGACAACAGTCGTGCCAGCCAGCCAGCCAGCCAGCCAGCAAGGTGATGAAGATGTGCTTTAACAAAACACTCACCTATAACCGCACACCAGGCGATGATGAGCACGGCCAAAGCGTGAAACAGCTTCATCTCTCAGATTGGAGGGCAGACAAAAAAAAAAAAAACAACAACAACAAGAGGAGCCGCTTCAGGCAGCAGGTGGGTCCTTCACGAGCGCACCGTGAATTGCACTTGACTTCGCGGACTGTTATCTAAAATGCGAGGCGTGACGTCACTGCTAAGCTTCTGTCCGTGTTAAGACGAAATAATAATTCAGTGTTCATAAGACAAGTCCCGTTGGAAACGACCGGTTTTAACGCGGTTCAGATGTCGAGCACAGAGCCGACTGCAGAAACCAGTCTCCTCCTGGTCTCCTCACGTCATGTGAACTGGTAACATTTAGAGCTTCCCAGTCACGTGAGACCGCCCCCCCCTTTCATTCTTCCACGAGCTTCATTCAGGGCAAATACTTATCATCGGTGTTTTGCCCTGAAATGAAAACAAAATGTCATACATATGCACAGTGGAGGAAGAGTTTTGGAAGAAAATGCGTTTTAATAAGTAAGACTTAATACAGACTTACATAACTCTACATAATCTAGGGTAGGTGTTAAGAGGACCCCTTAAGAGGAAAAAACAGGGCGTTTCAAGGAACTCAGTTACAATGAGAGAACTCACACTTGTGATACATGTCATGGCTTATAATTAGAAAAATTACTCAGCTGTGATGACAGGGGAATATATTTTACCTTTAATGTTAAATGTCAAGTAGGCTACCGCACTTCTAAATTCACAAGTTCCCCATAAATGTTACTGGAACACAACTTTTATTATTAGTGGCATTAGTTATTATTTTTTTTTTTAAATAGGCCTGCCTAGCATTGTAACATATTCATTATATGGTTATGTTTAAATTCAGAATCTGGAGCCCAGCAGTTTTCTGTAAAAGGAAAGGCAGCACGTGAAAGCGCACACGCACACGGGCACACACACACACAATGATGTGCAGCCTGAAAGTGCATGAGTTACTGGTAGTTCAGCTGACACACTGAATCACAAGTTCGCATTCAACACACACACCACACGCACAAGGATGTACAGACACACAACACACACACACAACACACATGCAGGAAAAAGCAACAGAAGTATTTTTTGCATGGAGTCGCTCTTTAAAGGCAGCTAAGTAGCTTCACCTTGAAATGTGTGCTTTTGTGAATGCAGCGCTGTTCTGAATACTGGGAGTGTGTGTGTGTGTGTGTGTGTGTGTGTGTGTGTGTGTGTGTGTAGATATGTAAAGATGCTGCATGAAATTTCACCTCCCAAAGAAAGAAAAACCTGCTCTCCCAATGGGACTGTGTGATACACTGAGAGAATATATTACATCGTGGAGTGAGAGAGAAGAGAAAAGGTGGGCGAGCAAACAGCAGCTCTCAGGGTGATGCAGAGCAGGGCGGCTCAACACTTACGTCAAATCACACACCTCAAAATAGACTCGCATTTATCCCACAATCTCCAAAGACACACGCGTCAAATGCAGACCCTTAAATAGGCACACATTAAACCAAAAATCTCCAGATGTAGAGTAGTACTCCACAGAAACACACACACACACACACACACACACACACGTCATAATTGCTCTATAACATTTTACCTACATCATTTCTGGTTTTGAGTAGTACAGAACCAACATAAATACCATTGTGTCTCTTAGCCGTATTCACACCTATAGATCGTTTGCTCTGGTCTGAATCACGGACCAGTTTGATCCACTTGGTCGAGTTTGGTCTGCTTTCACACGTGAACATTTACAAGAGGACCAATACGTCTGCATGATGCAAAGGGAATGCTGGTTTGAATTTCTTCTGGGAAGTAAACAAAGACTTGCTGAGTCCTGATAGGCTGCTCCAAAGACACGCTCTGCTCATGGGTTTTAATATTGTTGTATTATTACAGTTTCTATAATTGTTGCTTTGCATTCCTGTTTCTAATTTTATAGCTGAAGCTAGGCAGCTGTTAGCTTTAGCCGTGCTTGAATGAGACAGACAAAAGCAATAATTACAAACGCTTAAAGGAGCGATATGTAACTCTGACACCTAGTGTTTAAAATGGGTACTGCAGTCCAAATTCTAAACATCATAGAGAGCTGTCTCTCCCCCTCCTCTCTAGAGTCCATGCTCACGCAGGTCACCATGTGGTGGACTCTGAAGCTTCAGTGTTTATCCAGCTCTGCATGGGACTGTAAACCTTTCTGTGTTCTAACCTCTCTCCATTTTTCAAAAGCATCTCCAATATTGATCCTAGTTTGAGCACGTTTCTGCTCGTGGAGCTTATTAGAAACATGCAGAGGCTTTTTAGGTCGGGTACAATCACTTCTATCTGAACCACTTCTCTTGACCGCTTCCATCTCTGCAACACCTGTTGACCTGATAACTGCTCTCATATCTGACAAACCGAGGGGCGTCCAAAACGGCCGTGTGGGGGGGTCTTAAAAGCGCCTACCTTCTCTGGTCCAAACAAATCCAGAGCATTCAGGAGCAGAATCTAAAGTTAGAAGGAGGACATACTGGCTGCTGCATTGTTGTCAGAGAAGCCAGCACTTCAACATAGCATGTTTCCTTAATGATCAGAGAGTAAGATACCTTTATCATCTCACTCTCTACACATCTCACTGATTGGAACGTTAAATCTTTTCATCTGAATCCGAGCAAGATACCAATAAAGCATTTTCAAATTAACTTCAAACTATGGTCTGTATTCTCCTCCCATCATCATTGACATACTTCTGAGTTTAAGATGTTGTTTACAATTATTCCGGTTTCTGGCATGCCTGTGGAAATGGATATTTGAATATCAAAGGCGGATTATAGAATACAGGTTAGTAGCGTCTTTTAAAAGCCACCTTATCTATTCAAAAGATAGTCATAGAAGAATTAACAGAGAGAGAGAGAGAGAGAGAGAGAGAGAGGAAGCAGATGAGTGGAGAGGAGATTGACTCAGAGGAGTGTTTTCTGAGCAGAGAGTGAGACCTCCTTCACATCTCCGGCGGGAAGTGTTCAGTTTTCAAAGGTCATTCTTCGCATCTTGACAAGAAATGTCAGCTAAAATTGGATTGAGAGGGGGTAAATGAATTAATAAATATATAAACAAATCAGCAAACAAGCCGTCAAAGACGCTGGAATGCTGGGAGACAGGAGGTGAGGAAGGCCAAGTGCTGTGGAGAAGGGCGGCCAGAAGATTATTAAATTAAAAAAATTAGCGGTGTAGAAAATTAATCTATTTACCAGCTAGGCAGCTCTGTTTCCAAGCGTGGAAGGACGTTTATTGCCCACCCTACAAACACACACACACACACACACACACACACACACACACAGACCTTCTTCATCACGTTGACTTAACCATTAAACAGACATAGCATCAGCATCCAGTGATGGAGCCAGAAATCGTCTCCGGCGTGGCTCGTTTGAATGAGGAATTCTAATGATGTGATTCACATGAAACATTTATTAGGTGGGGGTAAGAAATATGCGTTACAGCGGCGGATGTATCTAGGTGTTAATATTGATGACAGGGTTGGCTCCCCCCAGCACGAGGGCCATGAAGTGAATGCTAAAACTGAAGCAGGGTGTTTGCTCCTCCGCAGAGGAGGTGCAGCTCCTCCCCCCCCTTCTTTAATAATTCTGTTTGGCACAGATGCCATTGGGAGGGCCGGGCTACTCGAGAGGGTTGGCTAATTAGTGCAGCATCACTGGTAGCTACTGTGTGAGTGTGGGGGAGCTCGGCAGATTGACATTCAGGACCACGCAAGGGGGAAGCAGACATCCACTGAGCAAGGTGTCGCAGCCGATCAGCACTGTGGACCGTCAAGACATCAAGTCGTCATCCGTCAAACGCCGGAGAGAGGCTCGCTGATATTTACTGCAGAATAATTGTTTCCTCTTCCTGTCGAGTTTAGCAGCATTTTGTTTCTCACAAAGAGATTTAAGTGTTCTGTCTCAACACCCTTCATGTTAAGGAACGCTGACGACTGCTTTTTGTGAAAACACAGCGTAACCAGAACGGCCATGTGGAAGGAGGACTGAAGGCTCACAATGCTAACAATGCTAACATTCACTACTTGTTTCCATCTGATGCTATGATCCCATAACTGTGTTTTCTTAGTGCTTTCTTCTTACCGCTAGAGCAGTGCTTTCCAAAGTGTGGGCCGTGGCCCCCTGGTGGGCCATGTGGGTACTGCAGGTAGGCCGCGAAAAGCCCTCCACCAATTTTAAAAATAAACAAAATATCACAATAATGATGATTTATCATGATTTAACCATTTAAGTGATTTGTAAGGCCTGTAATGACTATTCATGGACATAATGTTTAGTAAACTTTTGTGTCTATCTTGCCATAATATCATGTTGCCATGTCCAATTATTTACCCTTACTGAAAGTTACTTAAGGTACATTTTTTTTTAGAATGGGCCCCGGAGTATTTCTGTATTTCAAAGCAGGCCGCATCAGTCTTAAGTTTGGGAAAGGCTGCTCTAGAGTATTCAACTTGTATAAATTTGCATTTAATTGACTTAGAAATTAGTCGCCATAGGAACACCCCTACTTCTTACAGCCCACTTACCGACCGTCCCAAAGCTGAGAGATCACAAATAACAAGTTAAAGTAAAAAAACAGGTTTAAACTGTTTAACATGTTTTTATGCCACTCAGCGCTCTGCATGTCTGCCTGATGATACTCAGACCATATTTCATGCTTTTCATCCCTGCTGGTGTAACCGTGCATCTCATGGTCCACCGGTCCATTGCACCGGCCCCCCTCGACAGCCAAAACGTCTGCATGTTCCCTGCCTGAACGCACACACAAGATAGAGCGCTCAATGTACGTCGATGTGTATATTAAACCACAGCCGCCATGCATCTATTACAGACTCAAAGGACACCCAGCTATTGGAGATGTTATCTTAAGTCTTTGACATGGATTTATCTGCTGTAGATCTTCATTTCCATAGAACTGTTGGGGTCTTTTGGGGTTGGTGCATAATCCAAACCATGAAAAGCACTATCATGTAAGCTCTAAAGAATACCTGATGGGATCTTTTTAAACCAGCTTGACAGCTCTACCTTGTCTAGTATCACATTGCTACATTACCTGTTTCATGGGCTCCGTCAGAGAAATCATTATTTTTTTCTCCTGTACACCAACAAACACAGAACAAAGACTTCACACTGCGCTGCAGCTTCCTCCTCCATCCCCAACCTCCACTCATGAGTGGATGCTCTAAGTGTTGTTGATGTTGCTAAGATCTTTTGTTCTCTTATGAGCGCGCTCTGTAAATACATCTCTTGAAGTTCTTGTATTGTTCTGGGGATCACTTCTTTTTTTGGTTGAGACTCCC